ATTTTAAGGCTAATTAAGGCCTTATTTTTGGATTGATGAATTCAATGACTTTTAAGACTTTTTAAGGATCTGCAGGAACCCTGTAACAAGTTTCTATATTTTTTTTTTATTGTTTTACTCACCTTTTATTGTTACCTGCAGGAAACGTTATGTAAGAGATTTAAAAACCAGCACATGTTTCTTAAACTCACTTCAACCCAACAAAATGTTAAAATGTAGTAAATTAGATTTTTATAGAAAAGATAAGACAAAAAAGGGAAGATTCTCATTAAATGATTTGTCTTAGTTAATGCTCTCAGCAAGATTGCACTAAAAATATCAACATCTATCAGTCTTATCTTTGAAAACACAAGCAGCTTTGTTTAATCAGCTTCTATTGTGGAAGTCCATCATTAATCATCGTTTGTTTAAAATTATCGTTGCAACAGTGACCTGGTATTGTTCTACAATTATCAGCCAAGTGAAGTCTATTTGTTGAAAAAGAACATATTTTAATAACAGAGTTTTAGATGGCCTCCAAATAAACAAAACACTCAGAAAACCCAGTGAAGGCTTATCTTAATAAATTATTAAGTACTCTCAAAGACTTTATTGATGCTCCGGATCAAATTGAACTCTGTTTGATTCTTGTAAAATGTTGTGGTTATTTTGTTTTCCCTGCAAAATCTCTGGAATCCCCTGATGATGACAGCTCATTAAAAAGGGTGCATTTGAAGCCAAAACATGACTGACATTGTGTGAAAACGGCTGTCATAGAGGTAGCGTGTAAACAGACTGAAGATCAGGTACTCTGAGCTGCGGGTTTAACCAGCTCTGCTTCACTAACCTCCAACCTCTTACCATGAATCAGCTGAAAACTTATCTTAAGACAGAAACTAATGATTGGGAAACAGCACTGAAAAGCTGATCTACTTCTGCTGCCACTTAGGGAGTTTAGTAGCTATTTCCAAGTTCAAGCTTTGCTGCTTTAACATAAAGGTAAGATTGTGATCGTGGCTGGTGAGTCTAGAGACGCACAAGTGCTCAACTGTGTTAATAACCTGACTCAAAATGGAGTTAAAAAGCCTGCATCACTCAGGAACTTTATACATCCTGTCTGCTGCTCCGTCTAGCACCCGTATCAGTTTTCATTCCTCTCTGCTCTCATCTTTGGCTGCTTGTAATTCTAACCCCAGAGCAGTATGATAATCTGGTCCTCGCCACACAGACTGCACATATAATGGACCTTGACAGGAACAAACGACTGACATGATTGATAGCCGAGCCACAGCAACACGCAGCCTCCATTGACATCACTCCCCAACAACTGATAACATCCCTATTCAATCTCATCTGGTGCATTTTGGTGAGATTTGTTTCGTCTGCAGTCCACACCTGCCTGCCAATAGCTAAAATGAAGAGAAATATCACTTCAAACATCTGAATGATAAAATTATTAATAAAAGGACATGTGTGTGTGTGTGTGTGTGTGTGTGTGTGTGTGTGTGTGTGTGTGTGTGTGTGTGTGTGTGTTTGTACCTCCAGTGTGGTTAGTACTATCTTTTCCACAGAGTTGAAGTACGCCTCCCACAGGAACTGCGTCTGCTGTCTCAGGGACAGAATCTTATCCTGGTGGATGGAACGCACTGTTGATGGGATCTGGGACAAAGATAGGACATGTCAAGTCAAATTCTGCCAAAACAGTTCTGAGGGGGGAAAAAATGTCTCCAGTGAGAACTGGCCAGTGAAGTCCTGAGTCTCAGCTTCACTATACAGTGATTCTGTCCCAGTTTTTAAGTAAAACGCTTTATTTATTTAACATTTCAGTCTTTAAGTATCAATCTTAAAAATGTGTTTAAATCAGGCGTTTTACTTATTTTCCATTTTGATATTCTGTAGTTTTTCAGAGGCTGTTCTGTTAAAGTTTCTGATCATTTTGAGCCACTTTAAATATCAAAATATCTACACATATTGTAACTGGCTTTTTACAGTGGTGTTGTTTTAACTACATTGCCTCGCAAAAGTATTCACCCCCCTTTAGAGCTGGGCGATATGACCCAAATTTTATATCATGGTATTTTCAACAATTACACCGGTTTCACTGTATTTGACGGTATTTTTTTCCTCACAGCTCAGCTGATAATAAAATGTACAAACTTTGCTTACTGACTTTTTTCTTTTACTGTATCTCTGTATCACTGTTTCCCTCCTCTTGTACGTTTTTTCTTCTTTGACTGGTTGTAGACAGTAATCATGCATTTAGGTCCGATCGTGAAGGGTTGAGAAAAAACCATTATCTGGTCTATCGTTGCGTGTTAATAAAACTTAAAAGGATGGCTCACTTTGCACACCAGTCAACTTCGCTACATTACAAATCTACGTCTCCCCGGGCCTTTCACAATAGAAGCACGCTAGAGTCTCCATGCAATAACATCTCCATTATAATGTAGCGCGTTAAATCTAACTGTGCACGACACTGAAGAGTTGTTTACTATTCAGCGATGGTGAAAACGGGATTTATTTTTTCACGTCAGACCATATAAGTGGCTGAAACACACCACCCACCGCCAGTTGTTCCAACAATAATGTTAGCATGCTAATGCGCTTAGCAGTGCTGCGCGGTCCCCAGGGAAACAGTTCACTGGTGGCCACGACGAAACGTTCCGCACATGTTCAGGCTATTTACACCGGTATTCAGAAAAGTCATGTCATAACAAAAATAAAAGCCTGTTTTCGGTACAAAACGGTATACCGCCCAGCACTACCCCCCTTGGCACTTTTTGTGTTTTGATATGGATTATTTCAAGGTTTGCATCATTTCATTTGCAGCATTTACAGACCATGCCTACAACTTTGAACATTCCAATATCTTTTCATTGTGAAGCAAACAACAAATAGTACAAAATAACAGAAAACTTCAACGTGCATTCAGAAGATGTGATGTCACATATAGCTCACTGTTTACAGAAGTATGAATGCTACATGTTAGCATGTGTATGTAGATTGTGAAGTTGTTTGGCATGTCAGATAATTATTTAATCTGTTCTGATTGTCTGTTTCATCCATTGTTTACATGCAAACCTGCCTCCTGCAGGCTATTCCGGTGCGGCTTTTTATTTTTGAGACGAGAGCGACGTGCTGAAAGTGAAACTAAGTAAAATATCGATCTCATAACTTTAGTGTCAATATGGTCCAACATAAAGTAGGAACATTGGTAAAAGTACAGAGTTTCTACCAAAGATAGAATCAAACACATATAAAATATGCACTTCAAAATAAAAAGTAGCTTTGTTTGAAACTATTAATAAACATTTGTGTCAAATAAAGTATGGAAATAAACTATTCCATTGTTTGAACCTGTAAAAGTAGTCTTTCATCGCCAATCACAGCTGCCGTATTCCAGTCGATGATTTCGGAGAAAGGAAGCTCCCAGCCGTTGCTCAGCATCACCGGCACACAAGCTGCCTGCAAGAATAAAAGCAGTAACAAACATGGTTTCATTCAACTCGATGCTTCTGGACCTGAAACTGTGACAGTCAAAACTTCAGTATGTACATGTTGCCACAAAAAGGGCAAATATTTATGAGGAGCTCTGCAAAGAAGTTAGTTATAATCTAGAATTGACAATATATAATTTCACAAAACAATTCTAAATCTAAAACAATCATGCCTCATCTTTGAGTTATGACTTTTAGTTCTATAGTCAATAAAAAGAAGATATAATATAAAAGAGGAAAGCAGAATCACTGCCTCAAGTGAAAATAGGCCCATTTGAATATCATACACCTAAAAACAGACTAGACCATTAAATTTCCATTTCTAAGAGCTTCATATTATTACACTCCATTATATCTCTGTATGTGTGCGTGTTTATGGTTTTGGCTGTTTGAATTTACGTGTTTGAAAGTATGGGCTGGATTACACATCCAGCTTCTTGTCGCAGTGACAGGCGGTATAATCTGCCCAGCGGGATACCATTCACTGATTGGTCACTAAACACACATACATGTCCAGGTGCAAACACTCGTGCATCAAAGTGTGACTGTGCTCGTTTAATCTCTGTGCTGTCGTAAACAAAGGGAGCAATCTGCTCAAAGGCTGCCACGCTTTAAACACTTATCCACTTTCACAGTGAAATCCATTCAACAACCATGGTGTCCAACACTCTCCTTCCTCAGAACATCACATGTGAGAAGAAATATTCAGGACTTTACATCTCAGATGTGAAAAAGTGTGTTCAGTGATGTTCATTCTGAAATGCATCATTTATTCCTGTGCACTTGTTTAAAAAGTCTCTATGATCACAAAAAATACATAAAACCTGTAAGTCTTCATCCCTCCTAAATTCACCAGTTCCTGTCTTACTTTCCTGTAAGACTATAGATTCATTAACACCTGCCATCATGAAAGTGAGTGATCATCTTATTTTATCTGTATCGATTTGTCAGACTGTTAAAATGAACCAATGTACAGATTTTTTTTAATAGGATTTTTTTAATGTACAGATTTTAATACAACTTTCAGAAAATAATAATAATTGTTTGTACATATGCACCTAATTAACTCTGAGCCAACCCAATTCATATTGGGCACCGTTTTGCCCTTAGCAAACATAAAAAGCTAAGATTTGACATGGTACAACATACTCTGAGCACAAATAAACCAAGCAATAATTTTGTATAAAACTTCAGCAAGCAGTGGGCATTATGCATCTGTCAAACTGTGTCTCTTTCAATAACTCATACATAAACTAAGGGTGCATTCACACTAGCCCTGTTTAGACAGCTTTAAGCGAACTCTAGTTTGTTTGCCTGCAGGGTTCCTACAGCTTAAGGCGAGGTAAATTTAAGACTTTTTAAGACCTCTTTAATGCCACTTGAAATTAAATTTAAGAAAAACTTCACAATAAACATAAATGGAATAAAACCCAGTTAGCGAAAACTTTACCCAAATGTTTATTTTAACACAGAACTAGCATTAGAAGCATTTGGTATTAAATTATCTTAAAAAATAAAGAAATGCTAACAATTATTTTAATATTTGAGACTAATTAAAATTATCCTTACAATGTGTTTTAACATTTTTAAGACCCCTGAAAGATTGATTTAAGACATTTTAATGCAAATTAAGGCCTTGAATTTAGATTGATGAATTCAAGGCCTTTTAAGACTTTTTAAGGATCTGCAGGAACCCTGGCCTGGAAAGTCTGGTTTGTTTGGGGAGGTGTGAATGCGTAATGGAACTCTGATTTGGACCAAAAAAGTGAATTCTGGTCCCCCTACAAAGGTAGGTCTCGGTTCAGTTGAAGCGAACTCTGGTGCGGTTTGATTACATGTGTGAACACCAAAGATCCAAAGAAACTCAATCAAGCAAATGTCTTAATGGCAGATTATCTGCAGCTGAACAGCTTTTCCTTAAGGTGCGACGTTACGTCAACTGTCTCTTCTCACTCAAAGCCTTGCTCCTGTGAAATTATTTTCTTGTTCCATTCGACATTCAGACACCGTCTTTCTCCTACTCTGAAGTCAAATGTAATCATTCCTATTTAAAAAAAGACAAACAGCTTCCTTATTTGTTCTTCTGATGATTAAATTGAGACTTGAACATAAAATGAACTCGTGAGAGAAACAAAGCTTTGTCCCCTTCTGAGGCCCTGTCACACTAACATTTCAGAAAACTTGTTCCCACTTTTGAAATGTTTATGGCTAAATTACTCTTATATTTATATACGAGTATTTGATCTAATCAGTAGCATTACAGTATGTATATATTCAAAAGAGACTTCCAGTATTTTTTTTATCCCATCTTCAATGTTGGACAAAATTTTTATATATTGTCATAAGTTGTCTAAGACGTAAAAGTGTGACAGTGCCTTTAATAATTTTTTGTCTTCAAAAAAAAAAATGTTTAGATGTAGAATTCAGGTCACATAAGAGCATAATGACTCATTTTTAAGTGTACCGTGTATCCTCCTTATGTAAACCCAATTAGGGCTGCCACGATTAGTTGATTAATCGACGGCTAATTGATTATTAAAATAATCGATGACTAATTTAATAATCGATTAATCGATTTTTTTTCTTTACTTTGTCTCTCCAAACTGCTTTGACAACTTCCACTGCCACATCTGCCTTTCTGTCCTTGACACACATGCAAAGTAGTGGTAACTGGGGTAGGCTGTGGACGTCACAAGACATTATACAGACAGGCACTGGTATCATGGCTATCCAGCAACGGAGCTCAAAAGTGTGGGATTTTTTTAAGAAAATGAAAGAGAAACGTGCAATATCTGCAAGGCAGAACTTGCCTTCCACAGCAATTATTTTTAGTTAGCATATAACTAAAATCTAATGATGGTTATATAATAGCAGCTGCATTCTAGCGCGATAAGCTGTATGTTTTATATTCAATTAACGTATGATCTGATTAGTCGACTAATCGAGAAAATAATCGATGATTAATCGACTATAAAAATAATCGTTTGTGGCAGCTCTAAACCCAATTAAAATCTGTGTTCTGTAACTCCTCTCTGATAAAGGTGTGACAGTAAAACACACCATTTACCAGCAGATCTGAGTGGTTTTTACAGCCAAGGACTGGGTCAAAAACATGTTTCAAATTGTAATGCCCCATTTCTTTCAGAAGCAAACCTATGTTTACCAGCAGACTCGAGAAGGATTGAAGACATTTTTACAAGAAGTAAATAAATGAAGACGCAGTTTAAATATTTCAAGAGCAAAATAGCATAAATATTTTCATTTTAAATGTTGGTTATACCAGGCCACGTTCTGCAAACAGAGTCTAGAACAAGTTGGTATTTTAAGAAACTTAGTATTCATTCAGGTCTTATGGCTAAATCTTGTTTTATAAGAACTATCTATTTTATTAAAAGCACCAGAAACACAACTTGCTTTCCATTTACACTTGTATAATAGTTATTACAAAAATCCGTGGCCTTGAAAATGCAGGGGAGTGTTACATTTGTGTGAAACTCTTCATTAGTTGAAACTCCACATTATAAACATTAGTGGTACAAAGTTACAAAAAAATTGTATAAAAAATCCTAATCATCTCCAGTTACACAGGTCTTTTAAACAACACATTTAAAATATCACAGCCATCATAGTTTTGTGATCCTCACCTAAAATGTACTACAATATGTACAAATATTAGGTAAATATTAAACAAACATATATTATATAAAAAGATAAATATTAGGTGTGTTGCTATTCTCATATGTTATGAAGCACATTTGGTGCAACAACAAAAGTAAAATAAAAAGATAATTGCAAAAAAAGGAGCTTAGAAGAAAATAAAAAATTTAATAAAAAACATTTTGCTTTTATTCTGAAAGGTCAGGATGATGCATCTCCTCAACATGCGTATCTTTTAAGGTCTTAATAATTATCTTGTTTTGCTAAAGCTCTATCTGAAATTTATTTACCCATGGCATAAATCAGATTTCTGTCACAGACGAGGATAAAAAAACTGTTTTCTATTAGTTCACTGGCTACATAACATGTGCAGCAAAACTATATGAATTTGAGACTTACTTGTTTCTATAATCACACTTTTCTAGGCTAACAGACTTTTTTTAAATCACATTTTAAGCCTGGTTTTTAAGAACACAGTCACCCGTTTTGGTGCTTGTTTTGTTGAATTAGGTTGCTTATTTCTATAACAGGTTTGGCAACACAAGCAGCCTTTTGGAGTGAGATAAAATACTTTTTAAGATTCTGCGTTCAAGTTAAGCAGGAGAACATAGCGTCCGTGATACTGAAATGCTCCTGTGTAAGGTATAAATAAACACCAAAAGATCAGTGCATTTATCAGTTTTTCTCAGGAGCGCTTTTTTAAAAGAAGGATTATGTTTTGAAACATAAATAAAAAGAAAGAGAGAGAGAGAGAGAGAGAGAGAGAGAGAGAGAGAGAGAGAGAGAGAGAGAGAGAGAGAGAGA